GATTTTAACTGAAATAAACAAAATTGTGCCTATAAAAGTTAAGAACAAAATGTATGACATAAAAAAATATAAAAAGTCTATGAGTATCATCCAGAACAAATTTTAATTTCGGTTTGTAGTTTTTTAAATTGTTACCTATGTAATACAGACTTTGTTTAAAAATTATACAATTTTACAGCTACCATTTCAATAATTAATAGTTTTATGAATTAATGAATATATTACCCAATAGTAGTAATTTAGTGAATAAAAGTATTCACAGAGTAAAATATCTTCAACATCAAAAAATATTTTAAAACCGCTTTAACACCGGAAAAAAATATTTACACCGGCAGCGGTGTTATTTTAACACCACTTTCGGTGTTGGAATTTAACACCGCAAATTTTGACACCTACACCGCTTTGGACTTACCCCGGTTTTTTTTACAGTGCATAAACTTTTGCGCTGATGATATTTTTCGGTATAACTCAACAAAGTAAAATATGTTATAGCAAAATTTTATCTAAATTCAAACACGAGTATTTCTGCAACAGGCAGTTTTATAAAAAATCTACCTTAAAAGTAGTTAAACATTAATCTTATTGAATAAAAATCTAGTTTTTTCAAAGTGTAAAACCTATAAAAATAATAATAATATTCTAATTATAACAATAGTCCAATATTAATACTATTTCTAGCGTGCGGTAAGCTGCATTAATTTTTTAGATTGTAAAGAGTCCGGTAATTTTCTCATGAATTCAACAGTGAATATAAAGGAAAATTTTCTACTGGTTGAAAATATATAAATTCTTTCCAAAATCGGTACAGAGAATAAATCTGTCCAAAATTTTCTAACATATGTTAGAAATTTATGGTCCACTTTTGTGAAAAGTTTTTTGTTCAAAAGTAAATAAACCCTCGGTATCTAAATTTCTATCAATAGAACATATTTTTGGAGTTATACTAGAAAATTTCCAAGTGTCAAAGTGTCGGAAGTTTTTATTGGCAGCCAGTCTAGGGTGATTGTACAGCAATAACACACCCGCAACAAATACAATCGATGTGGTAAACAACCCCTACTATTTTTCCCCCTCACTGCGAGTAAACACACTCGTCACACTATTGCTTTGTGCGATAAACACAGGGGACAAAGATAACATCCACGTGCCACATGTGGCCAACTTTACGAGAGAAATAAGTATACAACAGTCCATAGAATAATTAACATGGTCGATTTTAAATTTATTTGAATCGATAAAACTGGTAAATAGAAATTTAACAAAATTACTAATAATATCAAAAAGGAAATTATTTTATTAGTTTATCATATTTATTGTCGAAATTTATATCAAAAATACTAACAATTGTTAAAAGTAACGTGAACATAGCAGAGAAGACCCTGCTCACGGAAAAATATATATGCACGGAATATAAGCCAGCATTTGTGAAATTATATATGCTAGCATATATTATTGTTAATAATAAAATACGCATATTAAAATAAAACACACAAACACACACACAGACTTACGGACATCATCGCGGAAACATTCGGAGAAGCTTGCTAGAACCTCAAAATGCTAACATCCGTTAAAAACTCGATTTTCGAAAAATGGGGTGAAACCAATAACTTCCCGATTTTTTGAAAATCATTGATGTTCATAGCGGGAAGTTAAAAAATTTTCCCCTCAATCAATAAATTAAATGTCTACAACCCGTAAACTAACTTCTAAATGTTTATAAGTTTGTGTTATTTTAACAATTGTTATTTGTTAGTTTCAAAATTAAAAAAAAAATTATCAAAAAATAAGAATTAAAAACAAAATAATAAAAATATAAATAAAAAAATCTGGAAATCAGTTGACTGCGCAGACCAACCCTAGAACCCCGCTAAGTTTAAATTTGAAGTACCTTTAAATATGTTTGTTGGTTAATATTTGAGCTTTACAAGCTCAAAACACAGTTTTTCACATTTTGAGCTCGAAGAGAATTTCCTCGGGACAGCTCGATGGTTTAATTCTCAAATCTAATCAGATCTAAGATTTGATAAACCCTTTCGAATGACGTGTCGTAGAATTCAATCGGTTGATTCGTTTTTGAGGAAGTTAGTGTTTTCACCCCGTTTTACAAAAATCGAGATTTCATCAGATCTCGACGTTTGAAGGTCACAGAAAGCTTCCCTGACTTCTTTTACGATGATGTCCGTACGTCTGTATGTGTGTGTGTGTGTGTGTGTGTGTGTGTGTGTGTGTGTGTGTGTGTGTGTGTGTGTGTGTGTGTGTGTGTGTGTGTAAACCTCCCACAATTTTTGAACGGCTTGACCGATTTCATCGACCCATTCCAAAAACTAATCAGCTCTTAACGTTAAAAAACCACGTTGATCGCCGCCAGTCCGGTCAAAATCGGTTGATTCGTTCGTAAGTTATCGTTGACGAAAGAAAACCGAAAAAAGTGTTTTTTCGGAATTACTCCGAAATTCCTAGTTCGATTAAATTAAACTTAAGGATTCTTGACGAGGCTTAAAAACTGCGTTTAATCCCGCTAACCGCGTAAAAATCGGTTCATTCATTCAAAAGTTATCTTTTTGAGCTCGGAGAGGCCTTTTCGGATGCCGTGAACCGCTTTTCGATCGGATACTCTGTTACAAAGTTATAAGATGTACCCGTATCGTGTACATTTCTTGTCGAATCGTTTCTGATGTAATGATTCAACTATACAATAGCTCAAAAAAACAACGTTGATCCTCTCCAAGAACGTCAAAATCGGTTGATTGATTTGTGAGTTATCGTTGTCGAATAAATTCGAAGAAAGTGAATTTTTCAAATTTCTCGAAAATTTGTGTTTAAAAGTAATTCATATACAGAAAGAAAAATTTCTTGACTGGAAAACAAAATTCTTGGCTCAAGAAAATTTTCGGGTGTCTGAAGGAAGACTGAAGTTGTGTTGGCTGAAGTAAAAATTTTTCTTGAAATTCCATTCTTGGTGGAAGTCATGTTTTCTTAATTCAAATTATCATAAATACTTGATACAATAAATTTTTACATTTGATCAAGATTTTTAGATACTTTAGGGAAGCAGCGCCACCTACTTTAGCTGAGAAAAAAGTTTTCTCATCTTGAGAAAACTTTTCTCTTGAATATTTGATACCTATTTTATATTATTTTAGCGTAAAGTTATACATATTGAATGAAAAAAAATGATTCAATATTATTTGATCTTTCTATTTGACATGTTAATCAATAAAAATATTAGTGAAAATTTACTTTTATCTTTATATTTAATTTTTTGGAGCAAGAGGCTGAATTTTCTCAAAACAACAAGATTTTCTTGACTTAAATAAATTTTCTTGGATCAAGATACGTATTTCTTAAAGCAAGAGAATTAATTTTGTTGGAATAAGTGAAATTTCTTGTGTCAAAAAAAAATTTTTTTTTCGCTCATGTCAATAATTAGGAAGAAAAATATTTTCTTGGCTCAAGTGAACCTTTTTTTCTGTGTAGGATTCAAAAAACTTCGTCGAATGCTGCCAATTGTGTGAGAATCGGTCTCTCCACTCAAAAGTAATTGCCTTTTGAAAATTAAAAAATAGTGTTTTATCAAACTTCTATCAGGCATAGAACAGCTAACTCTTTGAACTGGGCCAGCTCAAAATAACACTTAAATTGTAATTTTGAGCTCGAAGAGCTCAAAAATGTCAGGAGTGCAATTTTAAGCGCCTAGATATGAAATAAGCGAGAAGTTGCAAGGATGGTCTTTAGGGTCAACTGTTTTCCTAATTTTTTATCACATCAGATTTCTTCATAAGAATTTTCTTAACGCTTTCTTAACCAGGCTCATCAAAATCGGTTGTTTATTTTGAAAGTTACTGCAGTTCAAATATATTCAAAAACATGTTTTACTGAACTAGGACTAGATTCATGAGCTCGGAGAGCTCAAAAACATGTTACCGTTCTATTTAGGAATTTTAAAAGGATAAAACAGCTACAAAATCATATTTTTGAGTTCTCGAGCTCAAAAACATCATAATAGGTGAAATTCAAAGCCCTTTGCATTTGAAATTGATGGGAAGTTGCAGGGATGGCCTGTGGGATCAAACGTTTTAATAATTTTTTTTATTTTATTTACTCGCTATGACTTTGGCTTCTATCTATTAGTGAATATTTAATATCTAAAAAAAACTTGAAATGTTCGAATGAAACGAAAATTGTTAGATAACAATATTTTTTCTTCATTTTTCAATTTTTATTTAAATTATAGGGACATGTTTCGCTGATGGGAGCATCAATGGGTGAGTATGTTGTGGATATTGGATTCGACCTAACAATGGATTTTTGTGAATTAGTGGAAGAGCGTCTATTGATAGGTCCATTATTTCAAGCAATAGGATTTGACCCAAATCGTTGTCCACCTGATGTTATGAGCTATCAATTATTATTCGTACTTATAAGTGTTGATTATATGGTTCTTTTACTTTTGATTATTTTCTAGGGTATCTATGGAATTGATAATTATGAACCACTAATCGAAGCAATGCCGGATAATTTTCCGCGGAATATGTATAGAATTGTTATAGATATTCATTCTCAAGAAGAACAAATTATGATTTTCCATATATTTTCCAAGGTTGTTTAAATGGATATTGAGCTTAAGAAATAAGTAATAAATAATTAAATTATTTAACTCTTAAAAAAAAATTGGTTAACAAATGTACTTATAACTCTTGTTTCGTCATCCTCAAAATAAAATATAATTTGTTCACAATTGCAATTCATTATTTATTTTTTATCTATGTATATATAATGAAAATAGTGTTCCTTTGATGCTTAATCACGTTAAAACTACTAAATCTATCGGGCGGGATAGGACGGCTACTATTCGACGCAGAATAATTTTTCGTAGATAGTTATAGGCCATTCATTTTTTAAATTCCATCGACCCTTTGAAATTTTTTTTTTTTTCATATTAATTTACATAGTCCTCTTTTCCCCCATCACTAAAACAAAAGACGATCGCTTTTCTATCATCTTTTTCTCTTCTAGCTCATAAACAAGCCGGAAAAATTTCTAACTTCCCTACGCTTTTGAACGCGTTTCCAACCACAGCTTCCCATGCATCCACCTTAGCACTCCTACACATCCTCCCATACCGTCCCACACATCCACCTACGCACTCCCACGCATCTACCCATACCGTCCAATGCATCCATCATGTTGCAATATGAATTATTGTCTATGGCAACGGTTGTGTTGTTAAAAATAAAATATAAAAACATTGTATGATTGTCAAATGTTTTTCATCAGTTTTTCAATTTACAGTTGCTATAGAAACAACTATAATCATTTGTTTTTCAATATAATTTGAGAATATTCGATTGATTAACGCACCGAATAGCTTAAAAAAGGACTAAAGATGTCCAATGAAGAAATTATTTAAAGTTTATGTTTGTGCGCTGATCATGTGTTTGGATATATGAATTGGTCACATAAGATTAAACAATAGGTAAATCTCAAACTATAGATAAGTCATATTTTTTAAACGTTGAAATAAAAACATTCTCAAATTTTTGGATAAAATTTTAAATTAGTTATTTTCATAAATTCTTTTATAAGTGTTAATTATTAATTAATTCTTCCAAAAAAGACGTCTCTCCCTACGGTGACGTAGATTGAATAGACACGCGGTGACCCGCTTGGTGTGAGGAAGACACGTGGGACCTCCGCTATTGTAAGGAGTGTGGATTTGGTGCCTTGGGTTGAGTTTTCTTTTTCGGTGAGTACTCACAAATTGAGCCATTTTGTTATCCGTACACCGCTGTCTCCTGGCTCAGATAATTCATTTTTATTGTTTAATTAAATTCACTATCGATTAATCTGGTCGATCCCGTAGCGAGTAAGGGTTATTATTGGGAATATTTGTACCTGTCCTGAAAGCCGCGTGTTGGGTCCTCGATACGGCCAGCAATTTTTAATTAAGACATTACGTCATAGTTCATTATTGCGATTATTATTTTTAGCTTGATTTACGAATGACGTTAGTTATCAAAGCAGTTATTGCTTAGCGTTATTTACAATTATTAATATTAAATATTTATTATTACTGCAAGTGCTATTTTCGAGCGGAATAAAAACCCTGTGACAAGTGTTATATGAGATGCTTCACAATACTTTGGATTTCTTTACGAGATGGAATATTCCATAAAGGGATCAGCTGCTTTGGCTTTGAAAAAATTGATAACGAAAGCGAAGCTATTTTCTACATGGATCAGAAAGGTAAATGTAAAACACATATCATTGTTATATTGTAATAGAGTTATTTTTTGAAAATTATGAACTGTTACTATAAAATCAATAAATTTCTGCCAATTTATGAAGAAATCATCAATTGAGGGAATTTTGAACGCTTTGTTCTGTTTTCAAAAAATATGAATTTATTTAAAAAGGAAAAATGAATGAAAGAATGATCCTTTTGATTAACCAGAGGAAAAACAGAGAAAGTGAAAATTAAAAAGTAAACTTTTTTATTTTCATCGGTTAACTATAGTATTATTTTGTTTATGTAAAAAGTTGTTAAAATAAAAATCATTCTATTTTAATCAGGGAGAGGCTGAATAGAAAATTGTAACAGGAAGAGGAGAAAAAGAGGACTAGAAGACATGAGCAGAAGAAGAAAAGGAACATAAGATAAGGACAGGATAAAAAGAGAATCCGAAGACATGAGATGGAGAAGAGGAACAAGCACGAAGAGAAGAAAAAAGATGACAGATCAGAAAATGGACCGCAGGAAAAGATTAAGAAAATAATGAAGGAGACTTAAGTATTAAAAATATAAAGAAAGAAGTCGAAAAATGAACTGCAATATATTACATCAAACTTTCAGAGACACAGTAAAAATTATTCGATTAAAATTAAAAAAGAATTAATTACACGGAAAAAAGTAAACTGTAATAAATAATAGTCGATTTATAATAAGTAATAATCAACTGCTAAAAATTACCATTTCAAACAGTAAAATCGTGATTTTACTATTCACTTTATAATATTTATTATTTAAACGCTACAATTTATTCTTCACATGGAAGAAAATACTATTTCAAACAGTAATATTCGCTATGTGAATGTCGAAAATGTTAAAGTATAATAATTAAGAATTTTGACTTTAATATTTATCATTTCGTACCTAAAAAATGATTGCATGATATGTAAAAAGCACAAAATAAAGTTACTAAATTTCTAATACAAGCAACGTCAATATTTACAAAGTAAAATGATAAATTTGAAACGCAACACTAAAAATGAAACTATAATTATTGACTAGCTTGAACTGGTAAAATGGATATTTTAAAAGTAGAATTTTTACAGTTTCAAATGTTGAATTCTCCCTGAGTGAGACCCCCTTCTCCTCATCTGAGTTATTTTTTTCCTCATAGTATGGACTATGTATTGAAATGGCAATTTTTACTGTTTGAAACTGTAATTTTTTAAGATGAGAGAGTCATTATTTACTATACAGGGAAAAAAGTAAACTGTAATATTCACTTGGATTCCGGTTAATTTTTATAGTTTCAAACAGTAAAGCGGACATCGGTGTGCCAAAAATATAAATATTACAGAACTTAATGTAGAAAGAGTAAAAGCCACAATTTATAATTTAATATCCAAAATAAGTGATTAGTAACGGTCACTATAGTAAATAACGACTCTTTCATCTTAAAAAATTACAGTTTCAAACAGTAAAAATTGCCATTTCAATACATAGTCCATACTATGAGGAAAAAAATAACTCAGATGAGGAGAAGGGGGTCTCACTCAGGGAGAATTCAACATTTGAAACTGTAAAAATTCTACTTTTAAAATATCCATTTTACCAGT